TATTGACTTTGTTAAATGCATTTTTATTTCAAAAACGTGTGATTCTCACGTATCCTTCATTAGTAATCCTGTTCAGTACAATTTTCACCATAATAAAAAGCAACAGTCAGAGTTTAACTTAGATTAGATTCTAATAAGGTCGAAGGTTATTCAACATTAAGGTAGTACAAATCGAGTAAATAAAAAATCGGACTACACTTTATAAAAATTGAAATTAAGTTTCGATTTTCAAATTTGAAAATCAAAAATCATTTTTCATACTGTGAAACTCATCAATTATATTGAAGAAAATATTGAATTTAATAATAAAATGTAAGTGCATCATAAACCAACAATTCAGACAAAATAGAACTTAATATCATATTAGCTATTCATCTTTTAAATATGAACTGATAAAAGCTGAAAAATACCTGCATAAATCAAGATTATTTCACTTCTGGAAAATAGGTGGCAAGCGGATATATTCTTCGTCAACTCATTTTTTCAAGCAGTTGTTCACTCTGTTTGCAATTTCCTTGTAAGGTCAAAGTTGCTAGTTAAAAGTTTAGTAGTGACCCCTAACCCCTATGATAACTATTCTTTTCCAAAAAAGATGTGTATAATAATGGATAGGTATTCATTTAGGATTTATTTGTCAATTCTGAATATTTTCATTCAATTTTGATTATTTTCATGCATAAGTTTGATGATTACTACATTTTTCGAGGTGGTGTGTGATTCAGTTATATTGTTGTCAAGCACACAGTTGTATTTATTCATATTTAAATTTTCCATATTACTACATATCATTTCAGCCATAATGCAAACCATAACAAAAGTACCTCTAAGAGGTAGTACTTCGAGAACACCGCCAGTTCCACCACCGAAACCAAACGTTTATCACCTACACTATCCAAATGTACATATTGCCAAATTGGGACAATTTCCAAGAACAAGCACTGGTAAAACTGCTTCCTTAATTACTTTTTAAAACAGTTTGAATTTAGACGCAAATTAATTTTTTTTGCAAGTTTTACATTTTGATGTTTTTGTCTTAATTTTTGTTTTTCGTTTTCTGACATTATTTATAATAACTTTTGATCTCCGGCTAATGTAATTCAAAAATTCAAAATACTTCCATAAAATCAAAATTTGTTAATTGATCAATTACTGATACCTTAACTGGTTTTTTCATTTAAAAGATCAAATTTTCTGTGCTCAAAATATTATTCACATTTTTGATGTTTCTCGCAATTTGATTCCTTAAAGCAAATACTTTTAACATATTTGCATCTGATTGTAAAAGAACTCAAAAAGTAATACTTAACTAAAAACTTAATATTTTACTGTTATTACCTCAAAAAAATTAAATACTCAAAAGTTAATATTTTACTGTTATTTTAAGTTTCTGTCTGAATATAATACTAAAGTGAAAAGCGTTCTTTAAGTATTCTTTGTCGCGAGAATAATCGAATATCCAAAAATATCCAGCAAAATATTAAATTTTATAATAAAATGTAAGTGTGCGTCATAAGCTAGCAATTCAGTCAGTCCTAAACAACTTAATATCACATTAGCTATTCATTTTTTGTCTGGCATTGTGCAAACTAAAGTTCTTACTATTTTTATTCGGCAAGGAATGTATTGCATTTTTCTGATTACACTGTAGTTTTCTTACTTTGCATATTTTTTTCTCAATGTCAGACAAATAAATCGCTTATTTAATCGTATAACTGCGTTTAATAGTCAAAGTTCACGCAAGATAAAACAAAATATTACTCTGACAAACTCACGGCGTTTGCTTTTAATCCAGTGAGTATATGCACGAGAATACATTGAAATCTGAACGCTTTAAAGTTGAATGTTACATTTTCGTAAGCAGATTTCAATATAATGTCCGAATATTCCACTTGAACTTCTTGTACACCAGAAATAACATGAATTTTGAACAACAGTGACATCGTACTTCAGCAAGATCCTCAATACTTACTTGCATTCAGGGACGGATGTATAAAAATATGCGCAAAAAAGTACTTAATATAAGAATTGCAAAGTATGAATGCATTTATATAGTCTTGAACACTTGGCTTCTCATTTATCTTTAATAGAAGTCTTCGAAGATCGAAATTTATTTCAAGTTTTTTCATTTGTGCTTTATTTTTCCAGCTTATCATATCTATTTGATTGAATCTTTGCACATCTCATCACCGATACTGAATTCTTTGCCTTTTCTTTTAGCCAAAATATCAATGTCAATGTTTTTTGTGAAAATATTTTTTGCAAAATAATTACCCCATAAACAACATAAAGTAATTAAATTTTATCCTTCAAATGTGTATAGAATTTACGTGACAAAAAATTTTTTGCTGAATTTTTTAGAATTGAAAAAGCAATCGAGGAATTTATCAAATTAACGGAATTTACTGCTTTTTAATTTAATAATCCATATCTTTACAGATATTATTTCATTCAGATATACTTACACAGGAACAGTTTTACTAATTACATTCTGTTTTGAGTTTCTAATCAATGACCTTTTGATCCAGTGATTTGATCATAAAGAAAAATTTGTACAGATCATAGACGAAATTATTAATCAGTTTAATAGTTAACACAAATTGTGATTCAATAATATGAATTCAATTCATCTGTTTTTTTTTTCGGATTTGGGAAATTTAATAAAAGATAATAACAGACTAAAATGACGAGATGTTGCACAAGATTTTTGAATTTACAATATTCTAAAATTATTTTGAAACTGAAAACTTTAGCATAATTTGTTCCCAAAAGAATAAAGTGATTTGCAGGTGGACAGCTGCCACCACCACCAGGTGATAGCGATACGGATTCTGGTATTTGCGCTGATTCTGATAATCAGTTTTCCCCACGACATCTCAATGGACTGGTATTTATTGATGATAAATCGAAACTTTTGCAACGTAATTTTGAGATTCCAATTTACCGTGAGCATTTGACCCCGGAAAGTGTATGGTAAGACAAAATATGCTAATATACTTCAAAAACTGAGTAGATAATAACAGACTGAAATGACGAGATGTTGCACAAGATTTTTCTATGAAGAATTAATAGTTTCTATTCGGAATAAAGTGGTGGATTTTCCTATCAAAGTTTACTATCTATTAGATACATGATATGATTGAAAAGGTACTAATATAGGTATTACGAATAAAACAATATAGATATCGTTTCATATATGCTAAAATTTAATTTTTAATTACTTATCTTATTTATCTGTGCACTAAGTTTGAGATTTTGAAACAGGCTCGTAGTAAAAGCATTGGTTAATTAATTAATTTAAAATTAAAAAAAAAGTGGAGTACAAGTTTTAATTAATAATAATGATGATAATAATGATTATAATAATAATAACTAACAGATAAAAAATATCGTTAATGCTATTGTCATTATTTAATAAGCATGAATGGAAATATTAAGGATAATGATAAAATGGTAGTTGTGAATAAGTAACATTCAAAAAAAGTAAAATGTACAAGGAAATTTCAAAAATTGCAGGAGATTACATAGAAATTCTTCAACTTTGGCTTGCCAACGACGACTACCACAACAACCTCAAACAAGTTTTGCGAACAATAATCAGACGCAGAAAAGCACAAAACAGTACCGAGTGCGATTCGCAGATCAGGCACGCAAATCATAGCTGTTGTCTTTTGTATTTCACTCATTTCATTTTCAAAAATAAACGATCGAGACTTTTTGAAATGACAGTTTTTTAAGTAAGTGAATGTCAAGCAAAAGTTTTTGATGCTAACAGACTGATTTGAAACAGTACTGAGCTTAACTTTGATAATTTAAGTTCTGGTACTTGAAGAACATAATCAAAGACAAGAATTACATGATGCGTAACAAAGTTTGCAATTTTTAGGTTTACTAGGAAAGGTTAAGCCAACCAACACTCTTCTAATAAATTTCATGCTGTTACTGCTTAACTGTTCAGTTTATACCTGTCTTAGAATTATAGTCTGTATAATGTCGTATTCATGTCGTAATTACTGCTGCAAAGTTTGTTATTTTTATTAGGACTATTTTTTATAGGTTTCCACAACGGATTTTGATTCTTCATCATCTGCATCAGGTTGGACAAATAACACTCTTGGTAGTGATACTGGTAATTCTGATGCAAATTACTCCGGTTATTGTACTCATCGTTCCAATACAGGATCTAAATCAGCAGCTCAAGTCATGACAGTTACAGATTCTAATACTGGATTATTAAAAACTGATAGCAGTGCCAAACCTGCCAACAGTGATCGAGATTTTATTTCAGTTCAACAACAAACTGTTGATGACATATTCAATCAGGGTAAGCTAAGCTAGTTTGATCTATATTAGTCAATTTTTTCTATTTTCGGAATTAATAATTGAAAATTAATAACAAATCTTCTGGAGCACTCTGATGTTTGGAACTATTTTTAAGA